CTATTTGTTTGCTTAAAAAGATAGGCAATTAAACTAGGAAGCTTCCTAATTTCTAGTGAGATTTATCCGCCAGTTTCTTGATACAATAAGAGAACAAAAGGTAAAACCATAGCTGATTTCTCTTTCTGATATCTTGTTTAACTTTCATCATTGAACTAAATGGTGGTCACCCAACCAAACACAGACCAAACCTAGATCTTCTTAGATTCAGTTGGATCCATTAAGGCTATGCTTCAGAAAGCAGATTTTAAAAAGACAGCAAGAAATGTTTAGCCCAGAATAGAAGCACCTGAAACGGCATCCTGATGCAAATTATTGAACCCCCAGTTACCAAAATACATTTAACTTTTTTCCCTCCCTCTCTCTCTACCTAGCTCCATTTTCTCCTTCACTGTCACCCAGACCAAACTTCACCCCAAATAGCAGTCAAAGTATTAGTGGAAGGAAAACAAGGCAGAGCACATGGCAGGACAAGATGAGAAAGATGCCAGAATTTGAGATGAGATGGAGAAGCAGAGATGAACCTTCTGTGTCTGTAGCAGAAACTGAAGGCAAACTGGTTTCAGATGAAGTATTTGCTTCTTTCAAGTCCTGTGTAAGGGCTGCTCCAGGCATCTCAGCCAAGAAAGGAACACCAAGGATGGTACCACATTGACTTTCCACTTTCAGTTTAACTGCAGATGTGGGAAATATAGGCTGGGTTTATAAAATGCACTTAACCAGGACTGTTAAAGACTAAAGACAGCATGTACATATTTGATAAGTCTATAACTCAGTGTATTCATTGAGGAACTAGATGAAATAACCAGCCAGAGAGTTGGATTGGTTGTATTTGTGCAGTCTTTAACCACACTGTTTTCAATTCCCTTGGGATACTCTTATTTTAGCCCAAAGAGAAGGTTTGGCTAAGCATTAAGTTACACTCAAAGGTGCCATAGGAAGTAATGCTGCCACAGTGAGTAGCAAAACCTTCAGTATAAAAGCAAGGACATCAAACTTTCTATTTCAAAACTATATTGGGAGTACAAGCTTCCAGCATCCTTTAGGGAGGGAATTAAAACTGGCTGATGAGTTAGAAATGTTTGAGAAAGGGCATCTGAGCACATAGGGGAATAGGGTAAGAGTTGAATCTTTTGAGTCCCTGGAACATGGTAGGATGGGGAGAGAGAAATAAAATAGTTTTTACAAAAGAGAATCATTTAATTTTGCAAAAGAGACATTAACAGGAGATTGCAGAAGGCACGGGTGACCTCTTTCCTACTGTTTAATTCAGTAGATCTGTAGCAAGCATGCCTTTTTCTTTCTCACACACACACACACACACACACCCCGCCAAAAAGAAACCAGATTGCTGGGTTGCCAGAATGGGAGTATTCCATTTTGCAACAGGGAGTAGGTGGTTAGAGGTTGAAAGTAAAACAGTGAATCAAATTTTTGTCATTATTTGTCACAAAGGGCAGGTAACATTATTAATAGACTCTTCCATTTTTCACTATTTCCCTTTTGCCTTAGAACTGACTTTATACAGTCCTGTCATTACTGGTTACTGCTTCCTAGATACCAATACAAACTCCCTGCCCTTTCTCCCCCCCACCCCCACCCCCAGGGTGACTTGTCTTGCATTCATCTTGAGGTGGTCAACCAGGCCCCATTAATGGGATATGCCTCTAACTAAGGCCTTACGAAATGGAGGGGGTGGGGGTTGGGAAAAAGAAGAAAGGGACCTGGTAGTTGTGATAATTTACTAATAGCACCATTACAGTTTTTGTCCTTTCTTGTAATTGATTTTGCTATAAGTGGTAAAAAGAAAGGTTTATCTGTTTCTTATTTTTGTGCTACTTTTCAACTGTAGCAGCAGGAAATTTACAACAACAAAAAGAATGCATATATACCAAAGAAAATCAGTGTAAAGCAGAGGAATAATAGAAGCTACATATAGCAATCAGTGGAATTAAAATACATAATCTACATACAATAGAAGGGACAATGGAAAGGACATTGGTGAAATCCTCTGAGAGAGCATTCCACAGATAGGATTATGAGAAAACCCACTCCCTGAAAGCCATCTGCATTACCTGCAGGAAGGTAGATGCATATGGAGAGAGAAGCCATTCTTCTAGAACATGGGATTTAAACTGTGAAACTTCTAAAAAGTCAGAATTATTATTTTATATTCCCTGGAATGGACTAGGGACCTGTATAGCACACATGTAATAGGTATAAACACACACACACACACACACACACACACACACACAGGGTTATAGTGACTGGCCCAAAGTCACCCAGCCAGTTTTCATGCCTAAGGGAGGCCTAAAACTCGCAGTCTCCTGGTTTCTAGGCCAACACCTTAACCACTACACCAAATTGGTTCCGTTAGGTTAAGATTTCTGATACAAAGATCAAGTCTAGCTCTCTGTTCCAATCCACTGGAGCGAAAGCCAAAGTTCCAGATCTGGCACAAAGGGCCATTATGCTCTTGTGCCAGAGGATAGAGCTCTGTTTCCCATTATTGACTTAGGAGCTCTTGGAGCAAGGCTGTAACTCTATATTACCAGTGGTGCAAATTTTATGGCCCTCATGAGTATAAGACTCAGTCTCTCTTTCAGATTTGGCAGTGGGCAGACTATCATCATCCCCACTGTCATATTAGCTTATAGAGGTGAGATGATCTTTGCAGGATCTCAACCAACATTTAAGAAATTAAAATAACTGAAATCTTGAGAGATTCCCAATCCTGACTTTGTGGCCATAGTGCCCACATCTGGGACCACCTCCATTATCTTCTAGACTACATCCAGTCATTGGAAGTCATTGTCCTACTTCACGTTCCAGAAACTTGAGGTGATGGCTAAGGTCTGTATCTTTTAGTTTATGAGGCACCCAAACATTGCTGAAATGTCCTTCAACCACAGAAATAATACCATTGCCACTCTAGGCTTAGAGAAGGAGAAATAAGTAGAGAGAATCACCCCATGATTATAGATTGATCCCACAAATGATGGTGTGGGCACTGAAGTTGATAATTTTTGTACAAAATATGCATAGAACCATTAACTTTATTGCTAGGAGATGGGCAGCATTACCTGGAACATTATGTGAGATTTAATTCAGACAGGGTAAAGGCTAAAGACTCAGATAGTAAAAAACCAGAAAGGAGGGAATAAGATACTGAAGAAAAGGATTTAGAAAAGCAAAAACAGGGACCAAGCAATCTCTGAGATTTAACACTGATGGTGATGCAAAGGTGAATTGAGAAAATAAGGAAAAAGAATTGTGGACAGTTGCCTTCAAGTCAATGCTAGAAAAAAGGCAGGACAGGGAGAAGACATACCATCTTTTGAAGGAACCCATTATACAAGGTCAAAAGTCATAAGAACATAGGCTCTTTTGTACTGACATTGGTCCATCAAGAGCAAGTGCAGCAACTCTCCAGGATTTCAGATTAGAGTTTTTTCTAGTCATATCTGAGAATGCCAGGGATTGAACCTGGCACATTCTTGAGCTTTGGCCCTCCGTCTCATGCAACCATCAGCTTATCTTGTTCCATGCCATCTTTTTCTCCGCAGATCACAGTCTGTAATCAAGGCCACAATAAATGTATGCAGAGAGCAGATAAACTGAGATACAGATCAGAACTGGAGATTATTCATCTCAGCAAAGGTTTCCTTACGTTGGCCCAAATTATGTGTGAATAGGAACATGTTGATTGGAGTACTCCCAGCTTATCCTCTTTGCATAAAAAGCTGCTATGGGGAAATATTTGGGCCAGGGAACTGAAGGAGGGAAAGGGTTCCATCCTTCCTTTCCAGAGCTATTTTTTCCATTTTATAAGATCTTAAACCCACCCCACCTCTTCCCAATCTACTGTTATAGAGAGGGGAAAAGGTTCAGGGTGGATACCTCTCTCTCTTCCTCTCTCTTCCATAATAGCACCAACAGATTTGGGGAGGGGATGATTTGAATTAGGGTAGTAGTGTGTGGGAGGAGGATTGATCCCCTTCAGCTTCTTTCAAACAAAGAAAAAGGATGCTAGAAGATCCTATCCCCCCCTTGGCCTACCTAGCAAAATTATCCTGTTGCTTTTAAGCAATCAGCTCTTATCCAACAGAGGGTGACTTCTCTGTTTGTGAAGATCAGTTAATGATGATCAACGTAATGTTTCCAAATCAATATGAATTGCACTTAATGAATAGTAAGGGACTATCTTAGGTACTGCTGTATCTTACTGAATTGTGTGTACTATAACAAAATAAAACCAGAGATGTCTACCTCTGCTAAAATGATGTTATTTGCAGAACAGTAAATGAAACTGATAGGGGGGTGGTGAACACAAATGTTTGCTGTTTTGTTTTGTTTTTTAAGGGGAGGGTGATTGCCAATATAGATCAGTGAACAAACACCAGTAAAACATGTTCCTTCTGTCCTGGGATCCAGTGTAAAACCTCACTTGTATGTGTGCAGAACATGTTTTTCTGTTTGACCCCCCTTTTAGCCTGCTCTTAACTGTTAATGATTCACATTTGCGAGTCCAAATAAAGTTGGGCTAAATCTCTGAAGGGCTGGGAATCTTTTGCACAGATAAGGAGGAAAGGGGAAGAGGAGAGAAGGTACACAATGAAATAATCTGGCATGTTCTTCAAAGCTTTCCTGATCTCAGGTGAAGTCCATGAAGAGCATCAGCCCCAGAGTGTCTAACAACAGGTATGTTGTTTCCAACAAAACCCTCTTCTTTTCAAGAGTTACATTAACTTGGGACTGAATCCCTAATACCTGGATCTAATTGGAGGGCAAGATTTTATTTACATTGGTATTATAGTGGCATATATACTATCCATGTGGTTTTAAGGGAAAATTTCTGAATTGGAGACAACTGTGCATCCAAGTATTAATCAAATATTTGACATTGAAAAAAGGAAAAGAAAAAAACCTTGTTTTATTGTTCTCTCTCTCTCTCTCTCTCTCTCTCTCTCTCTCTCTCTCTCTCTCTGCTCTCACAGGGTGAAACATCTCAGTTTTCTTGGGCAGTGCTCCATGGTAAATTCAGGTCTCTACTCACAGCAGAACCCAGGGAAGATTTGTGACAGATGGGCTAAGTCACAAACTTGCAGCCGGAAGCAAAATCAGGAGAACTTTCCAGAGTGTGTCCTTATTTACCTGATCAGAGAGAAACAGAAAAGATGCAGAGGAAGCTCAGCCTGGCTGCTTGTCATAGCTGACACAGAGCCATCTGCCACAAACCTGTGGCGGCTTCAGATCTCCAATCCCTGCCACCACTCCAGCTTAAATTAAATGCAGATTCTGAGAGACGTTACGATGGTTACACATGTCCTCGGCATCACAGGCAGGAGACTGAAAAAATAAATGTGGCCTGTTGTATAACTATACTCATGTATCCCATATGTGGTGCCACATTGAATTTCCGGTGGAATTTGTTTGTATCCTTTGTACTGGATAACATGGAGCCTGAATTCTTTCTCTTTGCAGAAGTGATGGCAGCCAAGATTGCAACTTCAAACACTTGCTTCTTGGCCAGCTTTCTACCTAGACTGCCAGGTTATCATTGAAGCCTTATTGTGTCCTCCAAGGGCCACAAGGTCTAAAAGGAGGACTAGCACTCACCCCCCACCCAGCTAATGGGCAGATCTCTAGGAATTGTTCAGAGGCAAAGGTTGCTTTTTGCACTTCTTCCCACCTCACTATCTCTTCCTCCTCCCCCCACCTCCTTTTGCAAATTAATGACTCCATGGCACCAGGGCTTTTAAGTGAAGGTATTAATAAGGGGTCTGGCAGGTATTCCCATGATTCCCAGAGTTACATTTGCATTGAATTAATCTTAAAGAAAGCTGCAAGATAAACAGCTGTAATTCAAACTAGCATGGGAAATATGCTATATGGTGCCATCTATCCAATGAAATGAAAGGTTGGATACTTGCTTTATTTCTCTCAAGGTTGGAGATCAGGCAGACATCAGAATGGTTCCATAGAGGGGAGAATGCAGGGTTTGGTTTGGTTTTCCTGTTATGGCCTATTCTGTTATTAAGTAGGAGGGATGGGAATGAGAAATTTGTACTCCAACTTGCAAATCTGAGTTTTTCATAATAAACTAATTGTAGTTCTAACAACGAAGCAACTGCATTCATTGCACACGCACACACACACACACACACACACATATATAAATAATAAAGTACCATTGAAGTTTTTAATAAGCATATGCAATTCAGGTATAGGTGCATATATTTATCAGTATGTAGATCAGTACATACCACCTTGTTTCAGGGTAATTAATATAACTGGAGTTTTATCTGATGTGCTAAAATCTGTTTTGCAACCAATTATAAAATACTGCTATTAGTGTTTCAGTTGTGTTCTGGACAGGCACACACAAGTAAGGCAAATAAAAATATTATGAGATTGTACAGCTAAATTACTCAATTATTTACAAACAGTTATTCCAGCCTGCCTACACTGGGTATTCCTAGTTTTCTTTTCTACCCTGAGAAATGCTGGTCATACCAGCACCCTGTGAAAGGATTTTCTTTGCTTGCACTTTTCTACCCCTTTATAGAAGATCTTGCTGCATTTTGATAATTATCAGAGAAATGCGCTGGGTAATTCATTCTGCTGGTAGTTCATTTCTGCCCTAAACCCCAGCTGCTCCCTGCATTTAGTCTGTGGCTAAATATAAAATATACAGGCATCAGATACAGTATATACAGATAAAGTTGAAGTTGTGAGCATTCCAGGATTATGTATAGGTAATGGTAAACTGGTTAAAGGATTAGCTGTCTTGTTAGAGCTATTTTCCAAAACCTAGCCCTACAAAGTACTTTGCCTGAGAACTGCAGTCCAAACACTTGGAAGACTTCAGGTTGGGAAGGCTGTTTTAAAAACACCCGCCATGATATAAGTGTGCTTTCACAATAATATGTAATCTGAAACTGTATTTGCCAAACTTCATATAAGAGTGATCAAAAAAGACGATTAAGAACTGTTGCACATTCTGGCCTTCTTTGGATATGCCTTAACTGGGATTTGTGATTAACGTTAAGGATAAGCTTACCTATCTGCAGTCTGAGGTGGTAGGAAAAACTGACGGGCAGGAGAAAGATTAAGTATTAACTCCTTGCCAACTGGTTCTTCACATCACATTGCATTCTCTTGACCATCATTTGAGCAAGTGAAGCAGGAGCCAGATTCCCATGCCATGATTGTAAGCTAGGACCCATTGATCTGCCTTACATAGAAATAGAAATGTTCATCACTCTCCCTTTACTTTGTCAACCCCGATTTTGCAGTTAAATAACAAATATAATTAAACTTGTTCCTAAGCGCAGCTGCTCGGCTTTGTCTACAGAGGTTCCAGACCAGGTTCAATCCTTACGATATTTTGTTTCAAAAAAAATTAGATAGCAGATGATGTGAAATATGTGTAACAGATATACAGGAGAAGCACTGCCGGTCTGAGTAAACAATTCTAAGCTACATGGACAAAAAGCCTAAACCAGTTCTGTTTTTGCCTTTTTGTCTTCAGGAAGGATGAATACATTGTATTGTAACGTACTGTACTGTATTGCCTGAACAATCATAGTGCTGCATGAACAATCATATTCAAGTTTGGCTGTGTCTGCATATTAAGCCACAATGCTAAGTTTGGGCTTTACATATTATGTGAACTCAGACATTGTAGTTTATGCTAAATCATAGGACATGACAGACAATGTGTGAACTAAACCACTTATGGTTTACAAACTGCTACAGTGTTGGTAGGATGGGTTCTTGATCAAAACAGTTCTGATCAACAACACATGGCATGGATTAATTCCAGTTAATCCATGCCATGTGTCAATCAATATTTTGCTGTGCAGTGACATAGATAAAGTCAGAGTATCCAGAGTAGATACAACATATTAGAAGTTGTTGTTCATTCAGTTACTTCCAACTCTTTGTGACCCACTGAGATAATGTCATCAGGATTGTCTATCAGAAACGTCTTCCTTGAGACTTACGCTTCATTAGTGATAGTTTCTAGCTACTTGGTCTGCCTCTTTTTCAAATTGTTGTTAATTTTCCAAGTATCTGGGTCTTCTCCAGTGAATCTTACCTTTTCATTATGTACCCAAAATATTTAAGTTTTAGCTACATTATCAGTGTTCTTTCATCTTCAGTGAGATTCCTTCTTCCCATCAAAGTGGTATCTGAGGTTGTTGATGTTTCTCCCAGCAATATTAATTCTTATTTCTACTTCTTCTAGTCCAGCATTTCTCATAATACAGTCTGCATATAAGTTAAATAAGTAAGGAGATATTATACACCCTTGGTGTACTCCTTTCCCAATTTCACAATATTTAATTGCACCATAGTCTGTTCTAACTGTTGTTTCTTGGTCATCATACAGGTTTTTTTAGTAGGGAGATGAGATGGCCCAGTACCCTTGTATTTTTAAGGGCTACTCAGTTTGTTGTGGTGTACACAATCAAAAGCCTTTACATAATCAATCAGGCTAAATTAGATGTCTTGTTGAAATTCTCTTGCGTTTTCCATTTTTCTGTTGGAAATTAGCAATGTGATCTGGGGTGCCCCTGAATCCAGTTTGCACATCTGGCAGTTCTCATTCCATATATTGTTGAAGTTTGGAATGCAGAGTACCTCAAGTCTAAGTACTTCAGTAACTCTGAGGATACTCAAGTAGAAGATGGTCCATGCTGTTTATTCTCTTGCACATCTAAGAAATTATTATTGTTGGTCACACAGCCAGATGTTTAGACTGGATTTGGCATTTTTATCTACCTATCAAGTCCTTCCTAAGGACCTGGGATAGGCAGATGCTGTTTGATGGTGTTAAAGGTATTGTTGCAGGATGTAAGCTGTTCCAAGTCAAGCTGCCTTTTGCAATTGACTGATGATGATTTTGTTGTTATTATTATTATTATTTTACTGATTATATTTATAGACCATCTTGAAATAAGGGTCATCTTACAAGATAAAAGCATGTATAAGAATATTGTGATTTGAATGATGCAGCATTCAAATACAGCTGAAAAACAATATGCCAACCAAAGAACAGAGACTAAAATAGAAGAGCTTATGGTAGTTTAATAGGCTACCATAACTATTAAAAGATATAGGGCAATGCAAAAATACTTGCCAGGTGCATTTGAGAAAGTGCCAGAGGGCCCATAATTGCAGTGCCACTGCTAAAAAGGCCTTTGCACTTCTTACCATCTGCCTCATCACATCTGAAAGGGACTCTGAGAAAAGGTTCTCCAAAAGAAAATACAGGGGGGAAGAGGTGATCCTTTAAGTGATCCTGTGATGCCCCACCAAAAATGGGAAAAAAATAGCATTTTGAATTAAGCCCAAAGATGAACTGGGAAACAGTGAAGGTGGAAAAAAATCTGTGTAAAATGTGGGTTAGTAGTCTTCTAGCCATCTTGCATACCAGCTCAGATTTCTATGTAATTTCCAATCCAAATGAAGTTGGCAACGGATGGATCAGTGAAGGAGAGCTACCACTACCGAGATAGCTGATGTACAAAGAGGGCATTCTGCTTCAGATTCATGTGTTTCTATTAATGAGCACCCAGAAATGCCAGTGGCACACACTTTTAGTAAGATATATATATATTTATTTTCAGCACTCACCTTCATTGATGCTTCTGCAGATACTTATAGGTAACACTAATACTTTCACAGTCACAATCCACTGTGTACTTCCATTACAATTCAGTGCTGTAGTAGCTGTGCCAGCCCTAAATATTTCGCTGCTGAAGCTAAGCTCAGATACTACCTCTTTCCTTTGAACACAGACGTTTTTAAAAATCTTGCTACATACTTCTGATTTTTAAAGCTGAAAGTATGCTAATAACCTTTTCCATAACAGGTTGCCATGTGGTCTGTTGCACTTCTATTTATTTTCTGTCTTACGGATTAGTGCTAGAATCTAGGGTTGGAAATTTTTCAGGTATAGCGAAATGTAATAATTATTATCAGCACCATTTCTGATTATTAGCACCAATCTGTTTACTTTCATGAATGTTGCTTTGCCTGTTTCCAGAACAACAATAAAATTATTGTCCCTTGGTATAATCCCTAATTTTTGAGCATCCAATCATTCCACCCCCACCCCCGTACAAGTGGCCATTTTGAAGAACACCTTAACCTGCCCCCCCCCAAAAAAAGTGGGGGGAACAATCTGCAAAATAACAGCTGGAAAATGGCAAACCTGTGACAAATTAAATTCATTTTGCTAAAATATTTTAAATGCTTCAACATGGTAATCCAGACATTATCGTGAAATGAATTTTTTGCCTCTTGAGTTATGAACCTTTGCAAATAAGGTTTTATAATAGGAAAACTGTCAGCGCCTTAATTATAGGATAATAAATAGCAATGCTGTATTAACTTCTGATTTTTTTTTTCAGAAACGTGCCTAGCTATTGTTAGAAACTGATAATCACATGCTACAGAACATCTTGCATTTACAGTTCACCCTTTCTACACATGGCTCTCGGAGTGCTTCATGGGAAGAATAGTTGAAGGTACAGCATTGAATGTACCAGTGAGTCACTGAACAAACCAGTTTTGCACTTCAGTGTGAGGGG